GCTTGCAGCAAGTGAAGAGGAGGCCACAACAATAAGACGGCTGGAGCACCTCCCCCAGACAGGCTGAGAGAGGTGGGGCTGTTCAGCCTGGAAAAGAGAGACCTCCTGGCATCCCCACAGTATCTGAAGTGTTCTACAGGGAAGCTGGAGAGGGACTCTTCATCAGCAACTGCAGTGATAGGACAAGGTGTAATGGGTACAAACTGAAAGGAAATTTATATTAAATATTGGGAAGAAATTCTTTCCTGGGAGGGTGGTGAGACACTGGAACAGGTTGCCCAGGGAGCTGTGGGTGCCCCAACCCTGGCACTGTTCAAAGCCAGGCTGGACAAGGTCTTGAGCAAGCTAATGTAGTGAGAGATGTCTCTGCCCCGGCAGTGAGGCTGGGACTAGAGGATCCTGAAGGTCCCTTCCAACCCTTGACATTCTATGATTCCATGAAACTCCCCAGTCAAGCCATTTAAGTAACAGATTCAAGCAGTCAGTGCCTTGCCAGACTCCCCCACCTGCCCATATATACAAAATTTTATGTATTTCTGATCACAATCATTACCAGTGGATAATGGGGGTAGCGACTGGCTATTGCTGGGGGAATACAGTAGAGTATTTCAGTTGCAACAATAGCTAGAATGTGACAGCTGCTTCTTGTCACATTTTTCCCTGACTTTGCTGATGTTCTGTACAATTCACTCCAAAAATACCAACTGAAGTGTAGTAAGTACTTTATTGATAGAGTATCACACAGAGTTCAAAAACCACTGAACAGCTCAGAGCCTAGCCATGTATTTCCATGTGCGAAATTCAGATGAAATCTGTTGTTTATTTCAGTATGGAATCTTCACTTGCTAAAAGGGAAGAAAACGCAAACATGGTTAGAACTATAAGCCGCTCTGCGCAGAACTAAAACATGGAAAGCACAGTGGAATTAAAGCCTATCTTTATGTAATTTCCTTCTGGCCAGCATTTAAGATTCCCACTTCTGTTTATTCAAGAGAATTGTAATTCACAGCTCTGGGGTGATGGCAAATTTTTAAGTTTACCCAGTAGTAAAAGACAGTTTTCTGAACTGACAAGTCAAATGAGCCAGAAAAAGCTACCACTGCAGGTATGTCCACCTTTAAGCAACAGTCTTCAGGAACTGCACTGCACATAATGAGAGCTTAACAACTGCTTTTCTGAAAAAAACAGACCAAACCCATTGCTGGGAACAACAGACCCGTCACCTATGTGTCCCTTTTAAACAGACTAAACATTCTAAAGCAATAATCAAGAAAATTTCCTTACTAGGTGCCCTAGCAACATTACAGCACAGCTTCCACCTCCAAAAATACACGAAGTTTAATCTATCTAGAGAACATCTAAAAGACCCATTTATTTAGTCCATGAGCAATACAGATGATGTATTTGAGAAGGCAAAATTTTTATCTCCAGTAAGTCATACACAAAACATTTTAATTTCTGTACGTGTTTAATTAGTGTTTTGTTCAACACTAGTTGTTTAGAACAATGCAAATGTCACTCTCGCATGGAAAGAGTTACTGAATGTGTATCTGCACCAAGAACAGCCTGAGTTGTTAATTGGTTTTCTTAAAATTCTTCTTAGTCTTCCTAAAAACCCTAGGTGAAACAAAGCTAGAGAGTATATTCCTCTGTATGGAAGTGGGGAAGGAATCCTCTGTTAGACCCGTACAGGGAACACAAGAAATAATTCCAAGGACAAGGGAAACAATGCTGCAGCAGGAATACTGCAGCAGCAATTCTACAGGTGGAAGGGAATGAGAACAAAGCAGCAGTATTAGTTGCAAGTGATGCCCTCCAGCACACCCTCTTCATGTGAGAGATATAACGAATGAAGCTCTAACACGGCAAAATACAAAAACACCAAGCTGACCTCTAATACACGTGTGATGCCCCTTAGAAATCTCAAGTAGCAATTCCGTACTGTTGCCTATGCCCTATATTCAGTCATATTTGTGAGGTTCCTACACTTCATGGAGCAAAGGGCTTGCACATCCAGACAAAAAAGGGACATGCCACCACAGCTGATATACAGATTCAGTTATTCCTCACAGAATAACCAGCGTCTTTTGGCAGTTTGTTTCCTTGGCAGAAATTCAGCCATCTAACAAGTCCTGACTGTTGCAAAAGTGTTAAGTCTTGCTCTAACAAGCTTTTCCAAATGCAGGCACAATGAAACAGCAGTACTATTTACCCCCCACACGGCCCTCACCCCTGCCCCCAGGGATTAGCTGCAGGCCCCAGTTTCTCCTAAGAGCGCTGCGGTGGAACACCAGTCCTGCAGCCTAACACCTGCAACACAGTGTGGGATGAATACACTAAACTGAGGAACTACCTTCTGCAAGCTCTTTTGCAATTCGCTCCAGTTCTTCACGTTTCTTTTTCTCCTCCGCCTCTATTCTTCTCTCTTCTTCAGCAATCGGCTTCAGGTAGTCTGCCATCAAGACAATCCCTTTAAAACACAACTTCTCCAACCCCCGGCGGAAAGCTCCGCTCCTGCGGGCTCGGTCAAAAAGGAGGGAAAGACAGTTTTTCTGGCAGAAAGGCACATTTCATAGGGATCTGTGGCTTCACGCCGGCAGGGCCATGCCCGGGTCGGGGGAGGGAAATGGCGGCCGGGACACTTCAAGGTGCCCTTGCGGGGCGGGCGCGGGGGAGCGGCGGCCCGGGACGCCGCACTCACCGTATCGCTTCTTGCCGTAGATCATCCCCACGAGCAGCGCCGAGTACCGGGTGAACTGCGGGAGGCAGAGACAAGGACGCGCCCTTCGCTCAGCCCACAGGCACGGCCGACCCCCGCCGCCCGCCGCCCCCCGCCCCGGCCCGAGCGGCGCTCCCCGCGGCCCCGCGCCCCCGGGACAGCCCGGGCGGTCCCCCCAGCGCCCTCACCTTGATGAGCGGGGACACCTGCACCGGCGGGATCATCCTGGCGGCGGCGGCGGCGGCGGCCGGAACTGAGCGCGGCGGCAGGAAGGGGCGGGGAGCAGCCGTGACCGGGAAGCCAAATGCTGCGCTGTTGTCTGCTTCCCGAGGGTCGGCGAGTCCGTCACTCACAGAGCGCCGGCGGCGCAGGGCCCGCTGCGTCTCCGCCACAGGGAGGGGCTGGCGGAGATTGGCTATGCAGCCTGTGGGAAGGATCGAGGGGATCTCGTCCATGTTTTTCAGTGATAAATGCGCACAGACTGAAGTGCAGGAAAGTTCTTTTAAATGGAACAAAATATACCCTCTTTTTTTTTTTTTTTTTGACATTAAAACCTGTGAGCCCTTTTAAAACAGATACTGGAAATCTTTTTTCACTGTCAGCGTGGTCAGGTATTGGCACAGGTTGGGCAGGGAGGTGGTGGAGTCACCATCCCTGGAGGTTCAGGAGGCATGAGGATCTGGTGCAGGGGATGTGGTTTAGTGCTCTGGGGGTTACAGTGCACTGCTGGGCAAAGTGCAGATTCACGGCTGGACTGGGTGATCTCAAAGGTCTCTTACAAGCTTAATGATTCCATCATTAAATGGTTATGGTGTCTCTGTGCAGCTGCTGAGTCTGACTGGACACAGACCTCCACAACCAACCCATCTAGCCAGCCCTACCTTAAACTGGAGGGTTGGACTAGATGGTCTTCAGAGGCCCCTTCCAATGACATCCGTTCCGTGGTTCTGGGATTGTAATTACTGTATGTCACTTTAATTTTCATAGATACAAAACCCTGTGGTCATTAGCAATTCTATCAAGAACAGCTAGTTACAGTTATATTTGGGATGATCTTCCTACTTGAGAATGACAGAATTCAAATTAATGAAGTTTGTTTCTCAATAACTTAAAATGATGCTAAATGAGCTCTCTTTGTATAAAGTCTCATACCATGTTTGTCCTCAGGTTTAGGTTCTGAGATATTACCAAATTTGGATTGAATAATGCTATCTTGACTGCAAACAAAAATAAAATGATTCGTTCTGCAGAACAAATTACTTATTTGTAAGTGGATTAAACAAAAAACCCAGAAACAAACCAACCCAAAAAACCAAACCAAACCAACCAACCAATGAACCAAACACACACACATACACACCCCAAAAAAAACAAACAAAACCCCAAAAACCATTACTGAGCCAATACAGTGCCTTGTAATATTTATATATTGCTTTATACAAAGCATCCTTATAAACACTGAAATGAAACTCCTTGGCTAGATTCACTTTTTGGGTTTCATTCTCTTCAGGTACTATGAGAAGTAGAATCAACATTTCTTTACACTACATTATAAACATTTTAATATTTTGTAAAAAAAAATCACAAAACTGCTGAAGTTGGAAGGGATCTTGGTGATCTTGTAGGAAAAACCCATCTAACATAATTTTAGTTACAGATATCAACCTTAAAGTTCACCTACAGAGAAGAAATAAATGGCTTGAAGTTTTGTTTTTTTCACTGATTGCAATTTATTACAAATACACATATTCACTACTTACTATGTGTCTGCTGCACATTAGAAACAAAACCATACAGAACCAAAAGTGCTTTTATTAAGTATCAGAAAAACTGCTATACACAACACAATGGAAGTAATTTAACCACAACTAGGTATAAATCCCCTTGAACAGCTGAACATACCCTTCACGAGAAGTATGTAATATTCACAATGACATATTCGGTATCAAGGTGCTTCAAAACAAAAGCACAAGTGCTTTCAAGACTGATCTCAACTGAAACGAGATATTTGTTTTTCACCTACAATTTCTTCAGGCATATTTTGCCAATTATTTTTTTTAATCATGAACAACAAAATTCCCCAAATGCCTTAATTATGGCATTAAAGTTGTCAGGCACTAACATAATTCAAGATACAAATTAATCACTCTGCCAAAAGGAAATGTAATGGCTTCTAGGGCAGCCAGAGTTTAGATGATTCGAAAAGCACAATACTTATCCAGCTGCATGAAAAAAAAAAAACAAAAACAAAATCAATCAACATTATCATGGACACATGATACCCTTAGCTGTCCACAACTCAGGAGAAAGCTCAACTCCCTCAACTCCCTTACCTGATTGTGGAACTCTCACACACTGCAGTCTCATACTCTCCTTGAATATGACACCATGCCTTCTGAATAACAGAAGGATGTTCCATTGCCAGACAAAAAACAGACACAAAAAGCCTGAGAAATTAAAACACTTCAGATGAGAAGTGCAGAACAGAAAAAACCTTACGTGTAATCACAGAGCTCTTTTCCCTCAGAAAATATCAAAGCTAGTTAAAACTTCGATGCAAAGCCACATGAATCTTCATTTGTTAGACTCTTTTTTAAAAAAAGATAGATATGGCCAAAGAACTTGTGTTCAGATGGCTTGGAAGACTGCTATCACAATTGCAACTCCCATCTAAACTCACACAGAGCCACTCAAACACAGTTAGATTTCCAACTGCTACCCCCTGTTTGTGGCTAAGCAGAACAGACCATTGAAAAAAACTATTAAAAAATTTAACTTTTAAAAAAATTTAAAAAAACTCCCAAAAACAGTAACTTGTACACACATATGTTCTACTATGATGTAACATCCAGAAATCCAGATGTCTCCCTGTTTTCCATGCCTCACATTCTCTTACATAGAAGTTCAACCAGCTTCTGTATTTGGCTGCCATTTTCCTGGGTATCTGCGTACTTCTTAATTGATCATTGCTGCAGTTACATGTCAAGCAGCATTTTTTTTCTATAAGGCAATCCTAAAAGAAGGGGAACATGCTTTTCTTTGCATCCCCTCTTTATCCAATATTTTCAATAGCAGATTTTGGAGAAAGGGTCTTGAGCATGGCCAGCTTAAACATAAATATGCCCCAGTTATGGTCAATACAGGCTTTGGTTTACATCAGTATAATCCACACACAAACATAATGCGAGTCAGAGGAGCTGAAGTTGATCTCATAACTTCACATGCACTGTGCGGAAATTTAGGACAGTGTTTCATTTGGAGACAAACATGCCTCCTCTTCTTCTAACAACACAACCTTCCGTCTGGAGAGAGACATCACAGACTTTAGGGCAGTTAAAGAAATTCTAACAAAAATGCGCAAGGCAAGAAAAGCGAACGGGATTACAATCTGCATAAGATGGAAAATTGCTGTGCTAAATTCACTTAACAAGCAAGTTAGAAAGAAGGCCCCCAGGCTTACGCACGGGTAAAGAGCCAGCTTGGCAAACATGAAGGCATGCTCCTTACCACCATATCGAGCAAAGGCATGCAAAGTTTCCTCTTCATTGAGAAGGGCTGTAGTCCATATTGCAAACTGAAATATGCTGGCAAAGAAAGTGATAACACAGCTGACCTGAATGGCTTCTATTTCATTATGAGACTTTTCTGCAAATTCACTGGTCAGCTGGTATGCTAGAGGAAGCCCACCAATGAAAGCCAAGGAAAGTATGTTAAGCAGTCCCATTAACCGGGTAGCTTTTGTTACATAAAGGAAAAGAGAGTGATGGACAAACCACAGGAGACCAATTGTCACAAATGAGCCAAAGTAAGCAAGGTAGTTTGGCCCATATTCACTTAAAGCTTCAAGAAGACTGCCATGGAACTTCTCCTCAACTTCTCTGGGATCAGGAACATTGTCTTCACTGTGGAGCGAAAAATTACTGTTACAAAAAACACATCTGGAGCAAGACAATTATGCTTCTTTGAGAAAGCAGTGAACAACAGGAATCCACTCTGTACTTCTCTTATTATAATTTCGAAACAGTGTTTCAAATAACAGCTCTGCAAAGAAATTATATATAAAAGGAAATCTGAATGCAGGCTGGCATTCCTTTGGGTTAATAAAGTTGCTACAGTGACTAAACAGCTTTTATTGATAAAAAGCTTTCATCTGAAAAAGTAAATAAGCAAAAAAGGAAGCTTTGTTCTTCAAGACTCAACACCTCAACATGTATTACACACACTGATGATCATTACTGCTGGAATGTGGGTGTTAGAAGTATCTTTGGTTTGTGCTCCGTGTCTTTCCAGAAAATCATACTTTAAAGTAACCACTGCAGATTTTGGGAGTCAAACACAACATTTGATTAATTTTATTTCCTCAAATATTACATACAGAGAAAAGTTTATATATTTAACAAGATGAAGTGTAAGAACCAGCACAAAGCCTTACCATATATCCAAAATGAGCAGGGTTGCTACAATGGCATAGACTCCATCACTGAATGCTTCTACTCGTTCCTTACTCAGAGGCTCACTGAGGTAAAATGTGAAGGTTTCTAAGCTATGATGTTCCTCCTCTTCACCTCTCTGACCTGGAAACAAATCCAGAGGTTTAATCATGAAAATAAGTATAAAATAAGGTAGTTTAACAACTACTGTGACCTCCTTTTTCCCCCATCTGCCTAAATTTTTCTTTAGACAAAAGGATGCCAGTCATCCACGCATGTCAGTCACACAATTTTTTCTGGCATACGTGCCTGTCCCTGAAATTTATGTTTCTTTCAAGACAAGTGCTTTAGGAACAAAAAAAAATCTCTTTCCTTTAAACTGCATGGCAAACAATTTCCACCAAGTGAATAATGACTCAAAGCTGTAATTGAACAAAACAAATGAGATGCTGTGCCTCAGGAAGCCCCAATAGCTGTAGGGCCTCTATGACAGCTTGGAGAACTTAAGACTACATGGCAGTAAAAACCTGTCTTGAAAAAAACCATGGCAGCTGAACTGGGATGTTGAATGACCTCACTTAAAATAATTCAAGCCTTTTGTCAAAAGATGTAGCTCTTACAGGAAACGTCAAACACATCTCTAAAGAATGAACTCAGAAGTGCCTAGCTAGCCAAAATACACTGCTTCAGGTATATATAAAAAAGGTTAAGGTTCCACAGGAATGCAAAGCAGGTGTAATCACAAGAAATTCAATAAAGCTGTATTTCAGCCACCTGACAGGGTGAGAGGTAGAGACATAACATGACTGCAAACCACAGTGGCCCCATCACAATAAGCACGGACAATATTTGTAGGTGTTTATTCTCTAGATTCATCCTTTCAGAGCATTTCTGCTTCCCTGTTATTGCTGCCACATGGGGGAGTGAAGAGTATGCTCACATTTGCACTGGAAACAGACAGACTCGTACTAGTCTGAACAGCAGCAGTAGAAGTACAAAGGTGTCATTCTTCTGACCCAGCTTGGGAGCGTCAGCTCCAAAGACGTTATCTGTTCAGTGGTTTTGTGGTCCCTCTCAGAGGGACGCTGCACCTTTCAGCCAAGTAGGTTGCATGATATCCCCTGCTCCTTTTATTTTAGCAATAGCAACCTCTTTCTCAGCAGGATTTAAGAGCAGCTCAGGTTGCTATGGTTGTGCAATTGTTACTCCTTAGACAAGGAGCACAGAAAGCACATGAGGGAAGGAAGCATGGGTTTAGGCTAACTTAAGACGTGTGAAGGCACCTCTTTAGATGATAGCAGTTAGATTAATGAGATGTAATACCCTGAACAGTTAACTATTGTGAGACAGTTTCATTTACAGGTGCAGTGTAGTGCTGTTTCAAAATGTGTGACTATTCAGCATTGCGGGGAAGAAAGTGATAAAGGCATAGAGCTTGCTTCCTTATGTTCTTCCATTTCCATGCTCCCTCTTGAGGAGGGAAAGGGGATAGATGGCCTGCAGCCGTCATTCATATACCTACGTGTGTCTGCATGCACTCACATTATCAGGACAAACCAGAAAGATTTTGCACCAGGAAATGATCTTTAAATGTGCTGTGCCTTACACAAATCTCATCACAATTATGGGAAACAGGGGAGCAAGGGAGACATTGTTTAGAAGCACATCAATAAACCCTACAATCACTATGTTCCAAGACCAAAAATGAAAGCAGAACTGAAATTACTTCATTATGGGCTGTCTGCATAACATGTTGACAACCTAATCTGAACATATGCCTAGGAATTTTGTTACTCACCAAGAATTTTGTTTTTACACCATGTAATTAATCGAGTGAGATGCGGAAAAACTATTACAAGTCCAAGAAGTACGTAAGACTGTTGGAGAAGAAGATGAATAGTTTAAATATAGTTATCAAAATATAAATTACCTTCCAGATTTGATATGAAGCTATAACTCTCAGTCTTAGAACTAATAACATAGAGAAAAAGAAATCTTGACTTTCAAAAAGAAAAAGGCTCAGCTGAAATGCTCATTCACTTCCTGAATAATGCATGTGGGACCAAATACTACTTTTTCCTAGCTAATACAGTACCAGTAATGAAGCAAACAAAAACAAGTAGGGAAATAATTCTCCTGACAAGAAGTACAGGAATAACTGCTTTGGAATTTGAGTAATTATCCCACATAATCCTTATGGGTTCTTCCAATTCGTGATACTCTAAGATTCTACTATTTGTGTCACAAAAACTACATTGGTGGGTCCTAAGTGGTTCACAGGCTTTGCACAGGTCTAAGCATAGGAGCAACTTGGAGACTAATTTCACCATTGTCAATATTAAAAACAACTGACTAAACTACAGTGAATGGAGTGAGGAAAAAGAGGAAAACATATTTTCAGATAAAACTAGGCCTTTTCATGTTTGGACTCATAACTGCTCCTTTCATCAAGAGCAACCTGATTTCTCAAACTGATTTCAACAAACTTGGGGATATTTAAATACTGCCAATTCCTATGGAATCTTTCTCAAAATTCAGTCAAACCCATCTTTTCCTAAAAAACAAGAGGAATGGAAGCTCAGGATATATTCAAAAACTAGATTTCAGTTCTGAGTAGGGGCTCCAGAAAAGAGTTAAAGCTATTAAGAAGTAGGAGCAACTCAAGGAGCAACTGACATCAAGATGAAAGAGAAAAAGGCTATGTAAAAACAGGCCTTAGCCAAAACTATTTGTTTTGAGATGCAGGTGGGCTAACTGGTCTCCCTTTTCTGTTTGCTCTTACACCCTAAGTTAGTGCAGCAATTGCATTCACTTTTCTTCAGTTTGTGCAACGTGGTGTTCATTTCACATAAGCTTCCATATTACTGCAACTACTTCTGATGCAAAAGATACTAACATAGAGTTTAGAAGACCTGCTTAAAACAAACAAAAAAGCAGTCATAGCAAGAAATATTTTAGCAGAATATTCTTTTTCCACTACACAAACTCATGGATCAAGTTGCAGGTTGATACATGTGAATAAATACATTCAATGCAAAAAACAACACCCTAGAACTAGCAATTGAGAAAGTGTGCATAATTAACACAGACATCACTATTTTCATACACAGTCCTAAAGACAGCTAATACAAACTGCTGTATCAAAGTTTTCTGTTAACTGAGAGAACTTACCAAAGGAATAAAGAAAAAAGAAAAGATGGCTGCTAAAAAGCATAAAATTGGTCCTCTTAGGATAATCTTTAAGATATGATGTTTATAGAAATTCTGATTTTCAGACTCCTGTATCTGTTGATTAAGTAAGTGTGGGTGATAGAATCCATATGCTACTATCACAGCCTGCAAGGAAAAGAGCATTACTGAACTTACTACATATAAATATATGAAGGATTTCAAACATAACACATAGAACTATAAATCAACATATTCTGAAACACTTTCAAGCTTATTCTTCACTCCCATATGGAAAGTTGGTCCTAGAAACTCTGAGATTTGACAATGCACTGCATGTGAAGATTTTAGTCTCCTCTGCAGAGTCTGTCATGACCTTTGATCCTTGATGAAGAGGAATGAAGACCTCTGTAACGAGGAATTAAAGCAACAAAGCACTGCACCAGGAGGAAAAGTGCTGCTGGACTTGAGACTGAAAGCCTGTATTCCCTCACCCACTGCTGCATGGCTCAGAAAGACATCAGTGGGAAAACTCAGTTGTTCTCTCCCCAAGACATTTTTACAAAGAGTGGGAAAGGAATTCAGTGAACATTGAGATCAGCTGATGTAGTTGAATAAAACAGTTTCACGGGACAGTAAACTTTTGTCTTACATACAGGTACTGTATTATCATAATGGGCACAACTTTGAAAAAGAATGCTATACAAATAACATATTTAGCAATTTATGCCACTCACTTAGAAGCTTAATTTCAGTTCTACATAAGAAAGTCTATGTAAAAGTGAAAATGTAAATGGATAGCTCCAATACCTGTATAAGGCCAATGACAACAGCACAGACACTGAACAGGAAGATGCCAAAAGGTACCCCTGGAAAGGAGGCCATTAAGGAAAACTGGAAAAAATCAACAAGATCGTGTACTTAATTAAGAAACAATGCAAGAATAACAGTAGAGAAATAGAAGCACTCTTCATTCTATATTGAAAATATTCATAAGTCTACATAATAATTTGCATTTCATCATAATTCCATTAAATGCTATTTCTAGCCACAAATAATGCAGGCATCCCAACCAAAGGCATCTGGAGAGATGGTTTTGCTCTGACACTGACACTGCTAAACCTCTGGCACTGTGCTTCCATAATAATTACAGAGTGGCTTGTACCTGAGCATAAAGCTTAACTGGTTTTGGTTGACATGATGTCATAGCTGTGAAAATTCTTGATATTAGAATACCTTTTTGAATCTTTTATTTTGTCAACCTCCATGGCTCCCTGTTGTATTAATTTCTGCAGCTTCTTTAGGGGAGGATAAAAAAGGGAAAAAAAAAAGAAAAGTAGGGTGTAGTGTTAAGGTAACATGGTCAGCTTTCCAAAAATAATTTCAGCTTTAAGGCAGAATGAAAAGTATGTTCTCTTGCTGATAAAGACTGTCTTACTGACCACAGCTTATTTTTTGCAGACTAAATGTAAGACATATATATCCACAGAGAAACAGGTGCCTGTCTTACACATACAACAGTCAAGATGCATTTTAAGCAACTGTTTTGTTCTGTTATTATAGTATTCACTTGCAAATATTCTTTTGAGGTCATTTGACCAAAACTTGTGCAGATTTTGAACATAAACCCTCAGCTGCCAGAATCAACCTTGCAGAGCAAGTAAGAAATGATACTACAAACTTGGTCTAAATTACAAAAGGAAGACATCCTACCATATAAGGAGGAGTTTGAAACACAATTTATCTTACCAAAATTCTTATCAGATAACTTGGACCTTCTTTAATACATGTGCTTTTTTAAAAGAAATCATGGGAAATTTTTTACCATGAGGGTGGTAAAACATTGGCATGGTTGCCCAGTCCCTGGAGACACACAAGGTGAGGCTGCATGAGGCTTTGAGAAATTTCAGCTAGTTGAAGATGTTCCTAATCTTTGCAGGGGCTGGACTATAGGACCTTTAATGGCCCCTTCCAATGCAAACTATTCTACGATACTATGACTTTCCATAACTCTAATTTTTGTTTCTAGAATACCCATTTTCTGCCAGGTCTAAAACATGAAGTACTTGAACGTTATAAAATAGCTTCATGAGTTTTAAAGAAGCAACACTTAACTACCATAATAGATTCAGGGTTTATACTATAAGAACATTTTCCTGGGTTTCTGAATACTTCGTTAAAGTCTTTCCAAATAAATGAAGAAACAAACAATTCAATTTAAACAAATGTCAGATTTTAGAAAATTACTTACTGTATATGGCAAGAAGGTTATGATCATCATACAAGCCTAAAACAGAAAAAAGCATTTTGAAACACTATGTATTTTCTGGACACATCTTCAATGAGGGCATTGCTTGCTTTGTATTTTACAAGGAAATCAAATGCTTGTGCTGCATAATGAAAAATACCCACATTTCTGAAGTTGCTCAGTTTTGACTACAACAAATGGCTGCTTTTGTACAAATCTTCCATGTTCTCTATTCAAATTGTACAAGCTTATTGCAGAAAACCCTACAGTTTTCTGTGTCTACCAATACCCCAGGTAAAAGTTTTGCTATGGTTTCTAAGACTTCTTTCTAAAGTAGCAGTGCTAAATATACCACACCTTCTAAACAGTTGTTTCTGATTTGTCAAGAACATTAACAGCTGATTGTAAATATTTTGCATCTGAAAAAGCAGAATTAAAAAAACCAATCCAACAAACAAAAACATAAATAAAATAAATTGCTTTGAAAGCTACATTACGTAAGAATTAGATGCCTTACGCTGTTCTTCTAAAATAATTTCCTTTAGTTTTATCTCACGGAGCTCCAACAGTGCTTTTATTAACAAAATTAGAATAACTGTGTGGTTGCATACTTTCAGAGAACAGAGTTTAAAAAAACATTGCAAAATACTCAGTTCCCTCAGATGAACTTCAGACTAACCTGCTGCAGAGCTTCTGGTTTACAGTAAAACATTTGCAAGTTAAAAGCAAGTTATCTATCAATCAGTCACAGTGAAACTCAAGATCTTTGTATTTTTCTGACTTGGAAATATGTCAGAGTTATGCTATTTAATGTAGAAACTTTTGGATATTTAGAGACACACTTAAGTGACTGTATGTGCTTGTTAGCCATCCAGCTTGTCTGACAAGACTCACCAGATTTAGAAGAGCCAGGACATCATCTATATGTTCTATCACCTGAAACAACCTGTCAAGGTAAGGCAAAGTAAGGTTATCTTGAACAAGCCAACTCACAAAATATATTTTACAACACTACATATAAATTATACATTTATGATAATATAGGGAAACCCAATTTCCTTTGCCACAGAATTAATACAAGTATTCCAGGTGCCACCAAAACTCATGTAGCTCAAACATGAAAGTTAGAAAAATCTTAAACGCAAGATACAATCAAGTACAATTATGGAGCAGTTATTAAGAACTTGGTTTCTATATGAATAGCAGAGTATTTTCAAAATTTTAAGGCTTAGAAAAATTTCTCCTGAAGAGACAGCACACAAAGAAAAAACTTTCCTTGCAAGCATCCCCGGATTTTGTAAAGGAAACTCCTAATTCACAAAACTGTCACTTAGAATGAACAGCACCCATCACCCTCCACAAAACCCTGAGACTGTACCTCAGCATTTACTTATACTTTACTCTTTACTTATACAAGCAAAGAAAAGCACTGTGGTAAAGGAATGGATGTGAGGTATCAGCTTCAAATACTGAATTACAGGTTGCACGCCTCTATTGGCGTAGTGACATTTGTAAATTTCAAAATTCAAACAAAAAACTGCCCTGGTTCCAGTATGATGCCTGCATGCCAACTTCTTTTCAACCACCAACACATAGCAGGTGGGAGTGTCCACAGCTCTATGAAGTACAGAATCTGCAATATTACAACTGACTTTGTGACAACTATTGCTGAGGACAGAGTTTTAGGCCAGCTGTACTATACCAGTTCTTTGATTGTAGAGCATGCAAGTTACAAATTCATGTCTTTTCAGCAGAATTAGAAGTCTAATTCCATCTAGCCTTCAAGGTAAGATGAAAAGTAACTCTAAAAGATATATATATGTTTGTTTTTCTCTGTATGACTATGGCAGTGGTGTAAGAGTAGCTTTTCACTGCTAAGGGTAGCATTTATTTACAATGATTTTCTAATATTATTCAACAAAAGACAATTCAGAATTCTGGCAGCAAGACAGAAATACATCACAGACATGGTTATCTCCTTCACTTTCTAGCTTTTGACTTTAAATTTAAACACTGTGTTCCTACCTTACATGAGCTGCCCATGCCACTGTGACTATTAAAAAGGTCATCAAGTAGACTGCAATTTTTGCTAGAAGAAGTTGCTGAACACTTTCACCTAATTTCTGAAACAGAAAGTGACACCCAAGGAAACAATGTTATGTTACAAAATTATTATCAATATCTGAAAAAGAGATGTACAGTAATGTAATGTATTTTTGGAAAATGCCTCCCAAGAATGCAGTTCCCATTCAACAATCTCTTTAGTACATTGCAGAGAAAATCGTTTATTAGGAACTTGTTAAGTAGGCTGAAATACAGCATTTGATGTATCAACACATTTCATCAATCTGTAAAAGGGCTTCCCAATGCTCTATTCACCTTTTACTCATTTATGCATTCTCTCATCACTGTTACTATAGTAATGCATTTCAGAGGACTAGACACAATATGCCTCTTTTACTTTCACAGCACTGACTTCCATAGTAGAAGCATTGCAGAGGCTTCATGTGATGACTGTTAAAAAGGAGAAAGGAGAGGGCTTAACCTCAGCAAATTTTGCAAATACCAGTACAATGGCTTAAACAGACTCATATAGTATATTTGCTGTGTTACAGATCTCATCTGAGCTCCTTAAACTAAGATTTGGGTCTATTTAAGAGTAGAAAAATAAATAATGATAAAAGAAAAAACCTGTAAACTTTCTCAAATTATTAATGTTTCCTAAAATTCCTGGGTATTCTCAGAATTAATTTATTTTCCATAGTCTTCTTTTTCCAACTTTGTTTATTCAAATTACATTTATTATGAACCTGACTTTAAAACTAGCATTCAGATTGTGCTATATAAATGGCTTCTCTCAGTGATGGTTTATTACCAAGAAGACCAGATCCTTTCTGAAAGATGTTTTGGTCAGATGGGCAATTCATCTCTCATAGAAAAGTAACTAGTTATAATATATGGCCTGCAACACATAGCTCATTCTGGCTGTATGTCACAACATCTGCATATAACACAAATGCTAACTTAAAAGTTTTTCACCCGAAAATCACCAGCTCCTTGCCCTATGCGAAATTTATGTTAGGTTTTATGCTGCTCAATGGCTTCTGCTTTTGAAAGCCTGTAACTCGAAATGAAGCGGGCGTGCTAAACGAGGATGTTACGAGCTGAACAAGGATGTTACATCTACTTGCGAGGACACAAGAAACAACACACGGCACGTGATACCTGGTCGGGATGTATTTTTGTGTGAGCCACCGGCAAAATCTGAAATAACAAAATGCTTTATTAGCACATGACGTCCTTTTCCTTGTTGAGCACTTCCCTAAAACCACACAACCTCCAGGAGCAGCTCTGGAAGTCACAGCCGCTCGCGGGCCGTGGCCCGGCCCGCCCCTCCCTCCCTCCCTCCCTCCCGCAGCCGGGCGCTCACCATCACGGTGGCGATGATGGACAGCAGCGCGTCGCTGTAGGCCAGCAGCCGGTGCGATGTCTGCGTGCTGCTGCCCGGCTCCGGCCCCAGCCCCGGGCCGCGCTCCCGCGCCGCGGCCCGCGGAGCCGACATGGCCCCGTGCGCTCGGCGGCGGCGGGGGCGGCGCTTCCCCTCGCCTCAGAGGCGCGGGAGCCGCCCGCTGTCCCTGCGGGGCGGAGGAAGGCTGCTCGGAAACAATGCGGTGGATGCCCGTGAGTGGTCGTGCCGCTGAGCGCCCAGCGGCTGAAGCGGCAGTCCCGCCTTTAAATGGCCTTCCAGTTCACCTCTCGGTTTTTTGCATAACAACATCCTGAATCCAGTGACACTGACAGTGTGTTCTACATAGGACAGGTCAGGAAACATCAACAGAAGAGGAAAAGAAAGCATCACTCCTACAGAAGCAATTGATATCCCTCAAACAAATTCTCTTTTTTAAAATGGGAACAGCATGTCAGCAGTTGAGGGAGGGGATCCTGTCCCTCTGCTCAGCCCTGGTGAGGAACATCTGGAGTGCCGTGTCAAAATCTGAGGTTCTCAGTGCAAGAGAGAGATGGAGCTCCCTGAGCAGGTCCACTGGAGGGCAACAAAGATGGTGAGGGGACTGGAGCATCTCTCTCACCAGGATGAGCTGAAGGAGGTGGGCCTGTTCAGCCTTGAGAAGAGGCAACTGAGAGGGGAACCTCAGGAATGTCTATAAATATCTAATGTGTTGATGCCAAGTCGATGGACATAGGCTCTTCTCTGTGATGCCAAGCAATAAGATGAGAGCCAGCAAGCAGAAAAGCTGCACCTGAGTATGAGGAATAACTTCTTTACAGTGTAAGTGATCACAAACAGGAGCAGTGTGCCCAGACAGATTGTTGAGTCTCCCTCAGTGAAGATACTCAATAACCATCTGGATGCAATCCTGTGCCATGGGATCTAGAGCTTGAGCCGGGAGGTTGGACCAGATGACCTGCTGAGATTCCTTCCAAGCCATTTTGTGATTCTGTGATCTTGTGAAATATAGACCTGTGGAACTACAGGCCAGTCAGTCTCACCTCTGTTCCTGGTGAAATCCCCATGGAAACTATAGTAAGGCATATGGAAAATAAGGAGGTGGTTAGTGACAGCCAGTGTGGCTTCATTAAGAGTAAATCATGTCTGCCAAGTGTGGAGGCCTTCTGCAATGGGGCTATAGAGGTGATCATTGAGGGGAGAGCTGACATCATCTACATGGTCTTGAGCAAAGCATTTGCACCCAATGGCTTAAGTTGGGACATTAAAGACTGACAGTTCCAACCCCCCTGCAGTGGGCAGGGACACCTTTCACTAGACCAATTGCTCAAAGCCCCACCCAACCTGGCCTTGAACACCTCAGGAATGGGGCATCCACGGCTTCTGGGCAACCTGTTCCAGTGCCTCACCACCTTTATAGTAAAGAACTTCCCAATACGTAACCTGAACCTACCCTTCCTTTGTCTTAGAGCCATTCACTTTTGACCTGTCACTACATGGCCTTGCCCAAAGTCTCCATCTTTCTCTCTTCAGGTGCTGGAAGCCCACCTTCTCTTTTCCAGGTCATGGCAAGCTTATCCACCACAATTGTCCTGATCCAGGTGGAGCACCTTGCACTTGGTATTGTTAAATCTCATGAAATTTCCATGGGCTCACTTCTCCAGCCTGTCCAGGTCCCTCTGGAAGACTTCCAGGTGTGTCAACCACATCACTCAGCTGGGTATGATCTGCAAATTTGGTGAGAGTGCACACAATCCTTTCATCTGTATCACTAATGAAGGAACTGGATAACACTGGTCCCAGTATGGACCCCTGAGGGACACCACTTGTTACTGATGTCCATCAGGAGGACTCTGAGCCATTGACCACTTCCTTCTGGATGGTCAATGGCTCAAAGTCCCGATGACAACTGCTTGTTGTCATCCATGACAACTTCTGATACTATATTTGGACATATTGGAAAAACATGTATTTCTGTGTGAACCCTTTGTGATCATGTATTTGTAGATAATATTGCCAGAGATAAAAGTAATCACTTGAATATTCATGCTTGTATTTTTGTTAGAATCGTGTCCTTAATTATCCAGATCCTTTCATCACATGTTACAGTTGTTATGACATGATGATTTACAACTGTTAAAACAGATCCATGACAATTGATAAAAGGCTCTGATCACTGTCCATCATAATACAGATGAAATACATGGTGTCTTGGAATGGGTGAAGAAGGATGGAGAGCATCAGTGAGGGGATACTCTTTTCAGATGGTCACTCACTGCTGTGGAAATTTTTAGTAGGCTGTTTCATCCTGTGGTTCTGTTACTATTGACTGTTTTACTTTAAAAATAGCCAGGTATGTAAAAGCATGTGGAATGATCCATCAGCTACACATAATGTCTGGATGGATGAAAATGGAAGGAGGTGTTCAGTAGAGGGATAAGGAATCGCCCTATAGGGATACCCCAAAAATTGATTATGTGCAGGTGTGATGGAGGCACTGAGCTGAAGGAGTAACTGCAGCCATGGCACAAATAATGTAGGAATGAGACTTAAAAGCATGAGATATGCTGGGAGGTATTCAGTGAAGGGATTATGTGGGTGTGATAGCCACCTGATGGGCACGATAGGTCACCAGGAGAGGCTGGATTACTTTTATTGCTGGATGACCATTATCACTGCAATCAGCAGTAGAAGAAGAAGTGACACTGCTGGTTCTGTTCCATTTTGTTTAAATCCCACAGTTTTTCTCTTTGTAGTTCTTAATGTCTTTCATTTATATATTGTGTCTGCCCTCCCCCATTGTTTAAGACAGAAGCAACAGGATACTTGACTACAGTCTCACCCCCAGTTATCCCAAAAGTGGAAATGGGCATTTGAAATCCCCTACCATGCAGATCAGCCTACGGACTGACTCTTCTTCCCAAGAAGAACACCTCTTTAGTAAGATATCTGCCTCCAGCTGCATCAGAGCATGCACCCAGGAGCACCTGGAACAATTGTACATACCCTATACACTTATATTTTCTAGGTCTACTGCCTTTATCACCAGCAATCTAACAGGAATCTACAGCCTGTTTGTTGTGGTCTAGAAATGGTACTCCCCAACTGAGTTTCCCCACCCAGGCTCTTCCAAACCACATGCAGTTGGCTTGGCTTCCCCTCTCTTTTCCCCTTCCAGGAATGGAATTGAGAATTGAAGGAAGAAAAAGTGAAAATTGGGTTGAGACAAAACTAATTTGCTGGAAACAGCAATGAGATAAGGTATGATAATGAACACTCACAGCAACAATAGCAAAACAAAAGTAAAAAGAAAAGAGGGTAATTTGCGTGCAAAAATGCTCACCTTAGACTAGGAGAATGAATAATGTGTGATAGGTTCCCAACACCATCATACTTTTTGTTCCTCCAAAAACAGATGCTCTTCCTCCTGGAAGTGACAAAGTCCCTTTTCCCCACTGCAGGCAGTGATGTAAGGTGGTACCAAATAACATGATTCTTGGCCATGCCACTTCCTGCTGATCTGGGCTGGAACCAGGACACCATTTTTTCTATAAACCACACTATTGGTTCATTTGTGTTTGTAAAAGTTCTTTTTGAGCTCGACCAAACTTCCAGCACTGACTTCATGAACCACACTATTCGTGAATCTGGCACCGCTAATGTGGCCGGATTTCTGGTGTAACCCACGCTATCTCTGTACCTGGGATCTCACTGAACATGACCAGACTTACGGTGCCTAGTTGTATACAGTCAGAAATGAAGCCCAGATGCATCCAGCCCATGCTCTGATCTCCCAGCACCAGTTGGAATGCCAGAGGGTTTATTTTCTGCTGTATTTCTATAACCTTGACACAGCACTCAGAAAAATTGACTTTTCTTTGTATGTATTTTTTTTTTCCTTTTACATTCAAGGTTGGAATTGCAGTATACCCTACTAATGAGTATTTGTTGAATAAGAATATTTTGTAAGATACAACCACAGAATAGGTTATGTTGGAAGGGATCACTGGAAGATACCTAGTCCAACCTCTCTGCTCCATCAGAGTCCCCTAGAGTATATTACACAGCATTGTGTCCATATGGCTTATGAATATCTCCAGAGAAAGAGACTCCCCAACCTGTCTGGACAACCTGTTCCAGTACAGTTACTTGCACAGTAGAAAAGTTCTTGCTCATATTCAAGTGGAGCTTCCTGTGCATCAGTTTCTGCCCATTGCATCTTGTCCTATTGCTCAACACCAAGAAAAGCCTGGATCCATCCTCTGACACCCTCCCTTCAGATATTTCTATACAATGGTAAGATTGCATCTCAATCTTCACTTCTCCAGGCTGGACAGGCTAAACCTTTCCTTTTAAGAGACATGCTCCTCTCATCATCTCTGTCACCCTCCACTAAACCTGCTCCAGGAGCTCCATGTCCCTCTTGTCCTGAGGAGCCCAGAACTGGACACAGCACTCCAGATGTACCTCATTAGGGCTGAGCAAAGGGACAGGATCACCTCCCTCAACCTGCTGGCAATGCTCTTCCTAATGCACCCTAGAATCCCAATGACTTTCTTGGCCCCCAGGATACACTGCTGATTCATGGACTTGCTGTCCACCAGGATCTCCACAGAGCTGCTCTCCAGCAGATCAGGTGAAGCCTCTGCTGGTGCCTGGTGTTGTTCCTCTGCAGGTGCAGGACTCTGCGTCTGCTTTTGTTGAACTTCAGACTGAACAGCAGACTCTCTGCTGATTCCTCCAGCTTGTTGAGGTCCTTCTGAAGGATTGCACGGCCCTCTGGGGTATTAGCCATTCCTCTGAACTTTGTGTCATCATTGGACTTGCTGAGGAAGCATCTTCTCTTTCATCCAAGTGAACAAGCTAAGAAAAACTGGGCCCAGCATAGAACCTTGGGGGACACCACCAGTGACAGGCTTCCAACCAGACCCTGTGCCACTGAATAAAAACCTTCTGGGATCTGCCATTCAGCCAGATCTCCATCCACTCCACCATCCATTCATCCATCTTCCTTTTCCTGAGCTTATTTATGAGCACATCAGAGAGAGAGTATTGAAATCCTTGCTGAAGTCACGGTAGAAAAAATCCACTGCTTTCATCCATCCAGGTAGTTGTCCCATTGTAGGAGGCAATCAGGT